TGAGGGGGGGGGGGGGGAGATTGTATCACCTTGGGAAAGGGGTCTCCCACAACCCTGATGATGTTGTGTTTCCTCTCTTTTTTGTGACTTTTTTGAATTTGAGGTGCATTGGCAGTGTCTTGTCTATTTTGATCTTTCAAAGAGGATACTTGTTCTAATGGAAACTGTGCAAGAGGAGAGTTTCCAGAGATTCGGTCCCTTCCTGTTGTGTCTACTGGACAGCAATTGGTGGGAAACCTACTCAGTGGGGCACAGATGGCAAATAAAAGCCAGACAGGGGGTTTCACCATTTGCTCCTCAATCCAAAATGGAAAAAAAAGTTTTAGCTTTGAATACTTTTTTTTTTTTTTTTTTCTCTTTTTCAAGTTTATATTTCACTCTTCAGCACAGTACATGCTACAACATCAAGGTGAAAAATCCACCCAACATGGTGGCACAGAAACAAGCTTTATAAGCACAAAATATAAACATTGGTTACAACCATATCGTACAAAACCGTATCTCACTACAGCACACGTGAAGCAGTGGGGGAGATGCATAAGGTGTCAGTGCGACCAAAGATCAGTTACCAAGTTGAAGACATTGTTCAAACTCCTTGCCGCCACTCTGGAGCCTTAACCCGATTCCCATCCATGCAGGTTTGGGCCTCTAGAGCGCATTTTTGAAAAAGCGATAAATAGACAGAAGATAGCAACAGAAGAGAGAAAGAGGAAAGAAAAAAAGAGGGGGGTGGGAGTAACCTGTGAAGATAGAAGCAGAGCATAATCTTGTGTGCATTGGAAGTCATGCCAATAAAACCATGTTTTGGTAAAGTTTTATGGGCACCACCAAGCGCTCCATTTCGTTTATCTTGTTTATTAGAGATAGCCAATCGTCGGAGGCGAATTGTTTCCATTTTCGTGGAATAAGCTTTGAATACTTTAATTTATTAGATATCTTTTTCACCTGCTATTCACTCTCTTTTGGCTATGCTACCTCTTTGAGTTCTTTGGCTACACTAATATGCACTCCCAGGTGATGGATGTTTTAAAGAGAATGCAACAAGTGCATGGAAAGTATACTCTTCCCAGTGCTGGTGTTTTTGCATAAACAGATGCATACTTGCTTATCTAATCCCTGCTCACTGTAGACCTGTGTGCTAATCCCTCTTCCCAGAACACAACAAAAGTACCCCGTGCTAGGAGACTGATGTTCTGCTCTAAATAGACTGTGTTTTCTTTATTCACTTAATCTCTCCTAATCATCCTGCATTCAGCCAGTCCCAGCTCTTTGCCGCCTTTACAGCCATAATACAGGAAGGGGTTTCATCTGAGTCAGTTGATTTTAGCAGCGGATCACGGTTATGTTATTCTGCTGTACGGTCAGCCTTTTCAGGATTAAGAACACAATGGGTTTGATCAATACAAATGACACAGTTGTGTAAAGCTTTAAATATAGGGGATCATCAGTTTGGTATTCATGTCTGTGAATGGGTCAGAACTGTCTGATCAACCTATGATTAACCAAAATAATACTGAGCAAGCCTACTAAGGGGGCTGCTTTCTCTCTAGAAATAAACAAATAAATGATGCCCAATGTCATTGAACGTGAGATGTCCATATCTGATGTATGCGGGCTGATGCACACATACTGGAACATACTGGCTGCTGTCCTTGTTAGGACAGGGAGGAATGCTGGGGGAAAATTATTTATATATATATATATATATATATATATATATATATATATATAATATAATCTCATCAATAAGTGGAGCTGCAGCGCCAAATGTCACGGGTCTGTTTTCACACACAATTATATACAAAACAGTCATATAAGAGTATTGTGCCTTTCTGTGTGTGTATACAATCTGGTATTGACTTCAGGAAGTGCACAAAAGTGTAATAAAATTTCCCTCTTGTGCTGCTTTGCATCCCCTATGTGTTCAGGGTCTAGTGTACGTCAGGGATTTCATACTTCACTTTTTTCACTTTATGAAAGGTTTCTTTCTTTTATCGAGAGTACAAAAGAATGTGCTGGGAGTCTACCACTCAGCCCTGAAGATTACTAATTATCTATGACATCACACATTTGCATACTCTCTGGGCTTGAGAAAATCCTGAAATCAGATCTCAGTTCCTGGTACAGGCTGATGCCAGAATTTCTTGCTAAAAAATTATTTACTTAAAGCCTGGAGCCTAATGTCAGCTCCCCCTACTGTTCTAGTAACAGAAGTGCAGAAAGTTGCACACTTCATTGTAGACAATTGTAATGGGACCCATGAGCTGTGCTTGCTGTCTGATAGCAGCAGAAGTACGAAGTCAACTACAAAAAAATTACAGCATGGATTAATCAATCCATGATAATCCTGGTATTACTGGCACTGCTGCGTGCTTTGTTTTTCTAGCCAATGTGTAACCTGGATTTTTTTTTTTTTTTTGAGTCTGTGTCAATGGGCCTTTGTTTGCTTCCAGGGGGTTGTGCAAATACAAAATCTAATTGAAGCAGGTCAAATGCAGGTCAGAAGGAGGTCAAATGCACCTGCCAGTGAATTCTGACTGGTCTCGAAAGTGTCTCAAACTGATACCATTATCAAAAGTCCTTAAAGGAAAAGTATAGCCAAAGCTGTTTTGGCCATACTTCTCCTGTGGGTCACAGAGGTGTGTCACAAACGTGCACAACACACAGTGAAGGACGCAGACTTCATTTGTTAAGAGTATCCATTTTCTCCCCTCACTCCCTCTCTAAGAGGAGACATTTGGCCAGCGTGTGTGTGCTGTTGTAGGTCACTGGCAGGCCAAGGCATCTCTGAGCTAGGCACCTAGCTATCTCGGAAAGCTGTACCATCTCACAGCTCGGAAGAGATAAGGCAAGCTTTCTCCAGAGTTGAGAGAGATTCCAACCTCATAAAACTTAACTCAGCGTAGGTGACAGAATCGGATAACCTCAGTTAAAACCATTTTTCCCCTATGTCTCATATCTTGGAATATGAGAGCCTTACATAAAAACCGAACATATCGTCAGATGGACGATGAGCAGGCAAACAGTTTGATGGGTCACTCGCTTCGTCTCGGACACACAGGAAAGCAGAAAAATAGATCTTGTGAACCGTTTAGTGTACACTTTCATAATTCATATCTAATCAATCCTCAGACTTGTCTGCATAATAATCTACACGCGGGTCGAATGTCACTTGTGCAGAGGTTACACAAGGTTTTGGGCTCTAGTTGAGGTTGACACCCAGACCTCCACGCCCTAAACAGGTTATTGGTTCTTGACTTCAGAGACACCCCCTGCTGGGAACTACAAAATAGGCTGTCAGACCTAAGAGTGTAAGTTGAAGACGTCTCCCATTTTAACATCAATACCACCTGGGAAGACCCCAGGCTTTTGCTCTGAAACTTGGATCTGCTAACCCAGGACTTTGGCAAGTGTTTTAACCCTTTCACCTCTCTCTGATATCTCTTTGCTGTGCTATGGTTCTTTGTATATTTATATATATATCTTTAGTTACATCTTTTTTCTGTAAATATTTTTATTGCACTCGTTTGACCTTTTAGTAATAAATCTTTCTTTCTGAAAGTGTTGAACTGTTTCTATAGCTCTGTATTGCAATTTACGAATCCCTGCCTCTAAAGAGAACGCTACTGTTTGTTTTAAACCTCTGTATAACAGGCCTGTGTTATGATCGTGTTATGCAGTCGATTATTTCAATCATTATAGTGTTATAGCTGATATTGCAGAGTTTCCTCTTTCTCTGTACAAAAAGGAGGTGGTGGCAGTGTGAAGGGTTAATTGCATAATTAACCTGACCCAGTAACAATCGCCCAGGCTGCCGGTACATCGATTGTAGTCCGTTAGCTGGAAAATCGTTGTGCAGGGTGCAGCTGGGTGTGGCATTGTTACGCATGTCACATCGTGGTTTTAGATCGGCTAGTCCTTCAGTCATGAGTTTGGGTGAGAAGGTCTGGGGTCTGTCGCCGCGATCGTGACAAGGTGTACTTAGTTCTGCACTCCTGTGACCCAGATTCAGCCTACAGTAGGCTAAAGTCTGAGGTCAGCTGACTTCACAGAGCCAGTACAGGCTCTACAGGGATCCACACATATGCCTGACCGGCAGCTGGCTTAGCCTCTCAGTGTGCCACTGAGAGCCTTAGCCAGCTGCTCCCACCTTCTCCACAGTATGGCACTCCAGTGAGCGCTGGAGGGGCAGAGCAAAGAGCAGTGACTGACAGTCACCACTCATTGCTCACTGAAGACTGAGAACGGAGTGATCAATAGTCTTTGATCACTCCGTTCTCAGTCTAGAGCTGGCAGGGAACAGCAGGATCAAATTGATGTTGCAGTTATCTAGGTGAGTATGAATGCTTGTTTGTTTTTGTGTTTTTTAATTCTTAACTTCTCTTTTTAAAGTAACATCCTTGCTATACTTCTTTTCCCCAGCAAAGCTGTGCTTGTAAAAGAGAATATTTACCTTTGTCCACACACCATGAAGTGCTGCTCTGTTGCTGTGGAATCATCCCCCCAAAGTTTGCTGGGAAACCGATACTTCAGGAAGTGTCAGTCTCCTATGTTCTCTGCAAGCGGATCTGCAGCGGTTCCTACTTCTGCTCTCCACATCACCAATGTACTGTATTCTGTATGTACTGTAGTCATTTGTAGGTCAACCAGAAGAACCAGTGACTGCTCCAGAGGACACAGGAAATCAAAACTCATGGAAATGTCAGTTTACAGAGGTTGTCTAGGGTTCAGCGTACTGAATGGTTTTGCCAACGGACTTCCACCAATAGTTAATAGGATACTGGTTCTGGAGCTGGGCATTCAGCTTCACTGCCAGTGACGTTACTTCCCCAGGATCAGCATGCGGCTGACTACAGCTAAAGTTGCAGTTAGAAGGGGGTTGGGTAGAGCCACTGCACCAAAGTACACTGTATTAGGGGGTTGTTTTGTTGTCTCTAATCATACTGTGCATATCATATTTTCTATTTTTTTTTTTTTTTTTTTTTTTTTTTTTTCCTCAGATGCGGCCTGTTGTTGAAAAAGTGTTTCCATTTTCTGATGTCCCACAAGCCTTTGATAAGCTAGAAGCAGGAAATGCACGAGGAAAAACAGTAATTCAGGTCATCGACCTAAAACAATAAAAATTTTGTACATTCTACAGATCAATCTTCTTTTTGTGTGATTAATTTTTTTTTTGTCTGTAAAGTAGGATATCTTTAAAGTTCACTTGTCATGAGAGATATGAGAAGTGCTGTGCTTCAGAAAATGCTAGTCTTGATTATCTCCTAACAATGGCATCTGAAAGTGAGTGTGATATATTAGTGCAGCAAATGAACATGTTTTTCATGAAGTTGATGTTTTGAAAGCAGAAAAAATTGGCATCATGGTGTTATGCTTTGGGAACTGTGTAGCTGCAGACCATTTAGGGTGCCCATGCTGACCCATGTCCACAGGTAAAAGCACCTGCAATGGATGAGTGAGCATCAGAACTGAACCACAGAGCAATGGAAGAAGATGGCCTGGTCTGCTGAAACATTTTAGCGTTTTTTGGCCAAAACAATTCTTTTGCATTCAGGAGAAGAATATTTAGCTGTCCTAAACTCTGCTGTGTGTACATGGACACTTACAGTAAGCTTTTATTGAGTTGAATTCAGGGACTCAGCAGCAGCAGCAGTGTACATTAGGCTTTACTTTGCCATGTACCACCTACATAAACATTGTTGCTGACCAAGTACACCCCTTCATGGAAATGGTATTTCCTGATGAGAGTGGCCTCTTTCAGCAGGATAAAGTGCCCTGCAATACTGCAATAATGGTTCAAGAATTGTTTAAGGACCACAGCAAACTCAAAATTCTCCAGGTTTTTAGCATTTGTGGGATGTGCTGGAAAAAGAAGTCTGATCCATGGAAGTCCCACCTTGCAACTTACAGGACTTGAAGTATCTGCTACTGACAGCTTGGTATACTGCAGCATAACTTTCCGAGGTCTAGTGGTGTCCTGTCCATGCCACAAAAATGTCGTCAAGAACCTGAAAAAATATATCTATGCAGCATTTACTTTTGTGGGACCAGCAAGAGCTAAGCCAGGAACAGATATCTCTGGCAATGCTACCTGCTCCATGTCCCACATATAAACATGGAAGCTCAGATATGTGCAGGAGATTTGCGTGAATATTTTTATTTGAAACCCTGTGGAAGAAAGATTTAGATAAGTCAGAGTTAATATGTGGTCTCAGCAATCCTTTTCCCATGAATATTGGGAGACAAAGCAGTGAAATATTTAAGCCTGTAAAAACACTTCTACAATGTAATTCTCATATGTGTATACTTGTACATACACTTGCATTATCTGATGTGGAAAATGTCAAACTTAGTCGTCTTTTTTTTTTTGGGGGGGGGTTGTCTATGGGGAAAAAGTGTTAGAACACACAAGTCCTGCTGCATTCTCTCCTGCCCTGTTCCAGCATTGCTCATCCCCTCTACTGTATTTTTCCCCAGAATATTTATTGCCTTCTCACCAGTTTTATTGGACTTATATTGATTCCAAAAGTATGACTATGTGATCACAGCAGTCACTAGGAAGTAGTTTGTGACCATACGTGGATTTAAATACACCCTTCTAGTGTGTGTATGTATATGTGTGTGCATATATATGTATGTATGTATGTATATATGTATGTGTATATGTGTGTGTGTGTGTGTGTATGTATGTATGTATATATATATATATATATATATATATACATAAATGAGTACACCCCTTTTGAAAAGTAAGATTTTAGTCAATGTCTCAATGAACACAAGAACAATTTCCAATATGTTGACAAAACTGAGTTTTATAGAACATTTGTTTAGTTCATTACATGAAAGTAAGGTTAATAATATAACTTATATTACAAAATCTTCAGTTACTCAAATTAGTTGATGCAAAAATGAATACACACCACAACAAAAACGACTCCATCTAGTATTTTGTATGACCTCCATGATTTGTAAGGACAGCACCAAGTCTTCAAGGCGTTGAATGAACAAGTTGGTAACATAATACAACATTGATCTTTTTCCATTCTTCAAGAACAACCTCTTTTAGAGCCTGGATGCTGGATGGAGAGTGATGCTCAACTTGTCTCTTCAGAATTCCCCATAGGTGTTCGATTGGGTTCAGATCAGGAGACATACTTGGCCACTGAATCACTTTCACCCTGTTCTTTTTCAGAAATGCAACAGTGGCCTTAGATATGTGTTTTGGATCATTGTCATGTTGGAAAAGTGCACAATAACCAAGGGCACACAGTGTTGGTAGCATCTTCTCTTTCAATATAGAGCAACACCATCTATGAATTCATGATACCAGCAATGAAATGCAGCTCCCCAACACCAACACAAAAATAGTCAAAAAGTCAAAAAATAAAAATACTTTTTTTTTTTTTCTCAAAATTTTTTTTTTTTTTATAGCGAAAAAAATGACATAAATTTCATTTGAGTGCAGCGTTGCATGACTGCGCAATTATCATTTAAAGTAACGCAGCGCTGTAACGCAAAAAATGGACTGGTCAGGAGTAAGGGGGTAAATCCTTTGGAGGGCAAGTGGATAATAAGAATAATCATTTTGAATCAGTAATTTCCAAGTTGATTTTAGGGGGAAAAGCATTAAGCCTTGCACCTGGTAGATGCAGATGACTTGATAATGCAGATCTGGTAAAAGCTGTACTGTTTTTTTTTTTTTTTTTTTTTTTTGCCAGGATACAGGACTATCTGCACAGAATTCACACACTTGACTGCTATGACTAGAGAAACCCTGTTCTGCTGTCTGTGGATAGTAAAGGGAGAGTAGGCAGGCGCATAGATCATGCAGTCCATGTAGATTATTGTAGGATGGAATATGTTCCAGATCTGGCAGAAGGTAATCCAGTTGACAACAGTGCAAGCTGTGATAGAGTGAAGCACGCTCTAGAATAGAGGGATATAAACAGGACACAGCGCCTCTAAGTGTAAACTGTATAACAATTTATTGTTAAAAAGTAAGTTGGGCAACTCACATCTTTTAAAAAGTATACAGATGTTGGTAGATGCTCTGGAAGGGATCATGGGCTGATCAGCAGGAGGCGCTGCACATCCTCTGATTCTGTCTGTGGATAACCTAATCTAGCTATAGTGTGTTACTGAACAGATGACATTGTAATCTGTTTCTACAGATGTTCACATTTTGGACACTAGATGGCAGTATTGTTTAATCAGTTTAAATAAACTAGCAAATTTCCAAAAGCAGTGCCTTTAAAGTGTTTGTTAACCCCTTGCCTACCAGGCACTTCTACTGCCTTCCTGCCCAGGCCAAATTTAGGCTTTTAGTGCTGTTGTACTTTGAACGACAATTGCGTGGACATGCAACAATGTACCCATATGAAATTTTTATCTTTTTTTTTCACACAATTAGAGCTTTCTTTTGGTGGTATGTTTTATAAAATTCCTTTATTTTAATAAAGTTCTGACAATTTACAGATGTGGATTCAAAAACACATAACATAATGTCGTGCAATAGGAAAAAACCAACGTCATGAAAATGTAATCACTAGTCTAAGCAATACTGACATAACCTAATTCCAGTTAACAATAGAGTACTGAAACTTAAAAGCAGAGCTCCACCCAAAAAAGTTTTTGAGAGAGAAGTTCCGCTTTAAGCTTCTGTCCCGCGTTCCCCATTAAGGAATGGCACCTTTGGGGCACCCGAACTTGACAAGTACCCGCTCCCACTTCCGCTATGAAGTTGTCCCCCTCCCTCTCTCCCTGTAATCTTCTGGGACACGTGACAGGTCCCAGAAGACTACGGGGCCATTCACAAAGCGCAGCGCTTCTCATGCATGCACAATGGGCACCCGGCTGTGAATCCACAAGCTGTCACAGCCGGGTGCCCACACTGAAGATGCTGGTGCCGGGGAGAGAAGACGGCCGGTGAAACCAGCCATGGTGAGAACTGCAGGACCGAGGGAAAGGTAAGTGTCTGTATTTTAAGTTTTTGTAGCTGCTGACTTTTATTTTTTTTTTCAGCTGGAACTCCGCTTTAAGCTGAAAACATAAAATAAAAAAGTTTTACATTAAGCATTGATCGCATTAACGGGGGTGAGAAAAGACATAGACTCTTATGGTAGTTTGATCCCAGATATGATAGGAAATCAACGTATATCAAAGTTTTAAACATAAAAACAGTATGGAAGGCTCTTCCAAGAGCAGGGGGGGAAGGGTAAATAAGAAGAAAAAGAGACTGGAGTTCCCCGAAAAGGAGAGAAAAGAGAAGGGGGTATCCCTCTACCGGGTAAGAGATGGGGAGGCGTGGAAGCAGAATCACTGGACTGTAGCCATCTCCCTGAGGTAGGTATCTGTGCAATGAAATAGTGCCAGGGTCTCCAAGTTTCAGTAAACACTTCCTCCATATTGTGCAGTGTGGCCCTTTTGGTGGGATTAAATCGCCACTGGGGTTTTTATTTTTTGCACTATAAACCAAAAAAGAGCAAAAAATTTGATTCTGTTATAAAATTTTGCAAACAGGTAATTTTTCTCCATCACTGATGTGCGTTGATGAGGCTGCACTGATAGGCACTGATGTAGTGGCACAGATAGGCCGCACTGGTGTGCATTGATGAGGAGAAATTGATGATGCTGCACTGATATGCAGCAATGATGGGTATTGATAATCGGCGCTCACAGACGGCACTGATGGGTGGCAGTGATGGGTGACAGTGATGATCAGGGCACTGATGATCAGTGCAGATGTCCTCTATGACATTTGCTGGTTGAGGAAAGTGCTGTCGATAACCAGCAACTGTATTTACTTTGTGATCTGCTGTGTGATTAGACGCAGCTGATCACGTGGTAAAAAGCAGCTGTGATTGGCCTTTACCTAGTCATGTGATCAGCTGTGTCCTTAGGGACACAGGGATCATGATTGCACCTGGTGCGCGTCACTGGGGGCACATTCTGAGAGGACATCATATGAGTTTTTTTTTACTAAAACTGGAGAGTGCAAAATCTGGTGCAGCCCTGCATATAAACCAATCAGCTTCCAGGTTTTATTGCCAAAGCTTAATTAAACAAGCTACAGTTATAAGCTGATTGGCTACCATGCATGGCTGCACCGGAGTCTGAG